CTTCCTTGTAGTAGTTAAGTTTGCACAAGTAAAATGCCATACTTAACAGTATCTAATTAACAATTAGATATACATTACAGTTTATATATATATATTTTTAAGAGAGTAATTTCTTATTTAGTCAATATAAAAATTATTAATCGGGATTTGTATATATTTTTTCATTTCTCATATTTCATTGAATAAGACTATTGATTGAAAGTGGATTTTGAGTTGAATAGAACAATAAATTGAATGATAGTAGTATATCTGACAAAAGTGCTTTGCATTTACAAAGCATTTTATTGCTTCTCATGGTTTGTCAATTGATGTACAATATGTGTACATCACAACATAGGCATTTTATTTGACATATCTATTTGGCATAGAAATATCCCACTTGTTCATGAGATGTATATATTAATTTTATTGTGAGTATGTAGACAAGAGAGCCAGTTTGACATAGTAATTAAAATACCAAGCTAAAAACCAGGAGACCATAGTTATAATCCAGCCTTAGGCATTAAATCAGCTAGGTTATCTTGGATGGAATAGGGAAAAGCCAAGGACATCAACAATGATCTCTGAGGGAAGGAAAGGCAGTGCAAAAATAAGATGAGTGAGCCAGTGGGATATGTCACCTTGAGATCTGACTTCATCTGAGTTGCAACAAGTAGGAGACACCATCTTCACAAGTTTTGTAAGCTTGTTCATCGATTAACAAATAATGCTATAGCTATAGGCTGTAAATTAGAGAAAGTATTGTTTGCCTGGACTCATAGCTGTGAGCAGATCTTGTTCTATAGACTTTGAACTGTTGCAATCTGCAGTATCCACTCCAAGCATGGTAAGGCAGGATCTGTTTGCATTGTAAGAAGCTAGGAATATTGAAATCAAAAATGAGAGGCCAGGAAAACAAAAATAGATGGGAACTTCTGGGGGTGGTTGTTCTTAAAGTTTGAAACTGTGCTTGATTAGAGGAATTTGTATCCTTTTTTTTTCTTAAGGAAACTTGCTGACCTTCATTGTTCAGCCCTCCTTAGCTAAGGGGTATTTCAGGGATTGGCAATCTCCCAAATTCAGGATCAAACAATTTGTTCTCTGAATTGGCAGTTCTAAGTGCTGGATTTAAGTCATTCTTAGGTGGCTGGCAGTTGCTGACTCTGAAACCCCAGGTTTGAGAGTCTGCCTAGTTCTCCTCTTTAGCCTCAAAATTAGAGAGTCCATATTTGAAGGAACTATTCCTTGCTACTGAGTCAGCCACAGTAACATAGGCCAGTACATCAGCCGTAGTTGCAGCTGAGTGGTAGGAGGGAAATAAATGATTTGAAAAGATCAGACAGCCACTGAGCCAGTGAGATATGCCATTCTGGGATATCAATGAGGCTGCAGAGAAAGAAGGAAAAGCCCTTGAAACATTGAAGGAATTGTTATGGTGTGCTCTAGTGGAATCTCTTGAGAAGAAAAAGTAAGGAAGGATTTCTTGCACATTAGTTGTGCCTGACTAATCGTGTAAAATAAATCCAAATTTATTTGGATTTTGTGATGTTGCTTCATCTAAAACTTGGAACAACCAAAACATTCTAGATATTGTTTCTGATGAATGATAATCAACTCAGAATGGTTTACGAAAACATCTAGAATATAATGTATTCTTTCTTAAATGCTTTGTGTTCTTCTGTATATTTGTCCCTGTAATCAATCCTCATGTAATGCATGTACAGTATAGTTGCCTGCTTCATTTTAATGGAAGTAACTACCCATTCACAGATAACTTTAAATTCTAAAATCCTCCAGGGCTCAATTAACCTAATCTCAGGAGAGCAATGTTTCATGTAAAATCCCTAATTTGAAAATGAATTCCCTGGGCATCAGCAGCCTGTGAAAACAACTGACAACCACAACTCTTTCTACCTTATATCATAATTCCTTGCAATGAGGGTGCATTTTGACTGAAAGGATCTTGATTTTTATTTCTATTATGATGTAATTAATCACCATGATTTTGTGTTTTGGATTGTGAGGAATTCTGAATGGTAAAAATTAAAAGGAAGAAAATAGATACCCTCAAATAAGTTTTGGAGATGGTTTCCCCAAGTATCAGCGATCATTAGAAGAATCACTCCTGATCAAGAATAAGCTGACAATTTCTGTGAGATAATATCAGCAAGCAGAATCTTGTATACTTAAGTATGTGATATAAAGAGATGATTATATTTGACTAGACCAAGGATGTCCACGTCATCATGGCGGCGTCACGTGATGTATTGTGACTATTTCCCATTCACTAAACTGGGAGTGGGCGTGACACATCTGGCATGCAGACCGGGAGTTTGACAGCCCTGGACTAGACCAAGGAAATACAAGAAGCAGAAGACAGTGGTGGTTGTATTAGTTCAAAGAAGCTAGGAAGTAGAATGTTCTTGAAAGGCCACTTAATACCAAAAATAAAAAATGTATGCATTTATCTTAAAGGTCACCTGGAATCAAATTTGACTCAATACCATAAGCAATTATATTGGGATAGCTGTTACAGTGTGGCAACAGAAGCATGACAATTGGGGATATTAACACCACTCTTAGTGTAATTCTTCAAAAAAAATTCAGACAGTTTTCTTATTAAAAGATTATCTAATTTAAAAAGAAGAGACTGGTAATCTGGCACCTTTAATACTCAATACTTACACTTTACAATTTATTTGCCACTTTACAATCTTTTGTGTTCACCTGAGATATTTTTATATAAACAGGCGTTTAAATCTATATTAATTGTTCAGTCTATCTAACAGTTGTTTTTCCTGGTTAAAAAATAAGAACTGTTCACAAACAGAGGGAAATAGTTTATCTACCTCGGTTTATTTTTTTTTTTTTTTAACTCAGTATTTTGTTAAGTAGAAGCAGATTAGGCTTTCCCATGCATTGGGAAAAGCAACTTGCTTCAGGAGGCATTAAATGAGAAGAAAATATGTTTTATGTATGTATGTATGTATGTATGTATGTATGTATGTATGTATGTATGTATGTATGTGCTGGGATGAGGGAGCTGCTTTTTGGGTTGCGCCTTAGGCAATAAAGTGATTTTAGTGCATAATGCAGTTTAAAAAACAGACCTTATGTATTAATGATCCTGCTCTGTGTATTTTTAAAACGGCTGATTTCAGTTTCAAGAAAAATTCTTGGGTGATTTTGCACACAAAGAAAGGCGACTTTTGTGCTTTTCAGTAGATTAAAAATGTCTTCAATTGACAAAGTAGTGCTAGAAACTGAACATTGAACCTATTTATGATTTATAAATTACTCGAAGGTGAGGGGTGGGAATGTAAAAACTGTATCTGTAAATATGTTAGGCACACATCTCAAGTTTTTCACGGTATAGGTGGTAACAGAAAAACAGGATTATACTTTTAATTAAAGGAATGGTTTATTTTCTGACTCTTCAACTAAAAAACAACTCAATAATGAAAAGACAGGGGCACCCTTCTGGCAAAGCTAAGTTGTGGCTGACTGATTGCTGCATTATGTATGAGAAATTGCATATCTCAGGATGGAACATTTGCTGATTCGTCAAAAACACAAACATGAGCACCTGCTCGTCTTCTTGACATATCAGTTCATCCAACAGAAAACACTGTCACACATTTTTAATTAATGAGTACACTTTCTTATGAATCAGGCAGCTTTCTTTGGTTACTATTATTGTTTTATTGTGTTATATTGTTATTAAGCATTTATTCACTCAGGAGAAAAGTACAAGCAATTAGCAGTCATTCCTAAAAACAGAACTCCAAGAACAGCTATTTTTTGGAAGGAAAGATAAGTGAGTTTTTTTAAAGAAATAAATAAGGTAAAAATAAGGAAATCTAATATAATTTTTATTTGCAATTAATAAAAAATGAGAGCTAACATCTGGTAATATCTCAAAGATACATGCATCATTTTAAGAATCATAATAATTCTGTAAATAGGAATATCCTGGAAGGACATATTCTTGTAGACATAAATCTATTTAACCCTATCTCACATTTACATTAAAAAATCGTGTATTCATGCTTTTGTATTCTGCAACTATACAAGTTTGCTAAGGCTCAGCATTTAAGGTGCCCCAAACCTTAAGGAGATACATGTTTATATTAAGAAATAGATTTTGAAATATAATATGTACTAGATACTAATTGCTATAAAATTTGATCTATTCTTGAAACATACCACACTCATACACAATTTTATTAGGAACTTTGACTACAATAGTAAAACCTAACAAAACTAAAAGAAAGAAAAAAGAATGAAAAGAAAGAATAAGAACTGCAAGAAAAATAAAATAAAAAGGAGAATATAATAAAAGAAATATATATGGAAAAGTCTCTTCAAATTTCAAATTTATTACATGTACAAGTAGATCTTGACTTATGAACAACCAGTTGAAGTTAAGGCACACCTATTCCAAATTTTTCTGGACCCTTAACCCAGTTATAACTTTCTTAGATCAAAATCATATTTAGCTTTTTGTTTATTTCAAATTCTTTAAGGTTATACAGTAATTAATTTTTTTTTCTTCAGAGTTGGAGATAAAACTCACCTGATAAAGGCTTTTCAGACTTGTTAAAATGGTTAATAAGCCATTTCTAAAAGTGATTAGAAAGTGAGATTTTTGAACTCAGCGTCCCTTAAAAGTCTCCTCTGCGCTTGCTAATGCCATCAACTCCTTGTGCTAAAATTAAAAGAAAATGAATGTCCTTGATCCTTGCAAGGAGAAATTATCCAGAGCACATATGGATAGTCTCCTGTTCTCTCCTTATCTGGAGAGGTTCGAAATAATTGGTATACTCACCAGATGCCTGGTCTTTGCCACAGTCATCAGCTCTGCTTTCTCACAACAACCCAACTTCAGTTTACCATACCATCCTCTGAAAGCCCCTTCAATTCACTATACTTCAAGAATGTATACTTTATTCTAATCCGTTATTGGTGTATGGATTTTATTTATTTGTGTGCTTTGCTGATTTTATTTTTGTTTTTCACAGGCACTGGGCAGCTTTTACTTTCTACATGAATCCTTGAAAAATATTTACCAATTTGACTTTAAAGGTAAGGAACACAAACAGTGCTTCAATACTATACATATTCAATAGAGAAGTGATTTCCATTGACTTGAGGGATGCTCTCGACTAAAAATATTTGGAGGGTTATATTATTCATTTTTCACGTTAGAAGAAACACTCTCTTTAGAGTTTTAAGAGCTTTTATACATTGAAAACAGCAAATGTGAGTTTGTGTGATGAAATGTGCCCCTGCAGGAACTAAGGGACAGAGTTTTGGCAACACTGAGTTGGATTAAGAGTCTGTGTAGAGCTGAGCTGGAAGGGGGAGGTAGGGAAGAGGTTCAGGGTAACCATATCCTAGAATCTCTCAGGATTTATCTCATAAGCTCGAAAGTTATAGCTTTACCTGACCAAGATTCTGTCCACTAAGGATAAGCAAATCAAGGATTGGACTCAGTTGGGTTTTAATGTGTCATCTCTGGGCTTTGGCACAACAGTCTGCCACTTGTTTACTTTCGCCAATCAGTGTTCTGCTCAGGATATTTGGAGTGTTCAGATCATTTCATAGGCCAATATAATACAGCATTGAAAATGTTGGATTTATGTTAGTTATCAGCCATGGAAGTTTATTGGATGATTTATGTTCTTTTAGGGGCTGTATTGCCCTTAGACACATTTCTTTTTATGACTGCTGCTTAATGTTCACTGACTTACCTTAGTCACCAGAAAAAGGATTAGAAGTGGCAGTGACAATATTATTAAAGGACAATTAACTGTACATTTGATCTAGAGCCCTAGTGGCTCCCTGCTCAGAATGCAGTCTTGCAGGCTAACTCTGGCCACAGTCTGAAGTTCAATCCTGACGGGCTGAAGGTTGGCTCAGCCTTCCATCCTTCTGAGGTCGGTAAAATGAGGTCCCAGATTGTTGGTGGCAATATGCTGACTCTGTAATCCGCTTAGAGAGGACTGTAAAGCACTTAACCAAAGAAGATCATGCTTGGAAGAACTATTACTCACTTGTCATGCAGAAATTTGTGCATTTCATCTTTGACATCTGCATCAAATAGATCCGGGAGTAGGCAATAGAAGCTTTTCCTGGTATCATTTAGACATTAAAGCTTACAAGCTGTAAGTGTGTTGCCAATGTGTTTCAAGGCTGAATGACATCTCCCTGGTACTTGCTCCTATCCAATTCTGACTGTGACAACACCCCAGCTCTTGAAATCAAAGAGATAAATGTTAACAAAACTTGCATTTCATTTTTCTTTACTTGTACACTGAATAATAACATCTTTGGTATATTAGTATAACAGCTTAAATAATGCTTTTTCCAATATTTGGAACAACCTTGATTGTTTAAAAACTATTTGGGATTTGATAAATGACTGCTCTAATTTCAGTATAAAAATATCTTAAATTTCTTTTAGCTTGTTGTGACAAGTCACATTCATTCTATACCTTTGTACCACATTACCTCATTAAAAAAACTGTAGCTGGCTGAGGAACTCTGGGAGTTGAAGTCCACAAGTCTTAAAGTTGCCAAGGTTGGACACCCCTGCATTAGAGTGTGATGACCAAAATTTTATACACTGGTAGCTAAACTTGGAGAGTACAAAGGACAGCACCTGGAGAAGCAGTGTCACTAAGTTAATTCTTTCAAAAATATAATACACAAGTTTTCAAGGACAGTGAGCATCTTGTGAAGTCTGACAGTTTGAAATATGGAGTTACTGTAGAATGTGAGAGTTTATACATGCACACTTCCATATTAAAGAAGAAATTTAAATCCTCATTTATATCCACTAATTCTATGGACATTCCTGCATGATGGGGTTAAATGAAAACAGCAGATAGATTAATGAGAATATTAGTCTAGCAAAAAGGAACAGAATATTATCCATTGAGGAATTAGTGCATCTTCTTTGTAGCATTGTAGAAATATGTTATTAATATAACAACATTTATCACTATATCAACATGAAATGCAAAAAAAGAATTATTTCATTTTGATTACTTTTTAAGAACACGTTTCAACTGAATTTTTATGGAGGCATCTTAATTTGTTTCCTTGGATGTTTATTACTTACCTGTTTCTTAAATTACTATATTTGTTTTCCTCATACTGGGCATATTAAAACTAATATTCTAAATTATCTTATTTCTTCTCAGCTAAGAAATACAAAAAAGTTACGGGGAAAGAGATCTATTCAGATACATTAGAAAGTACACCTATGCTGGAAAAAGAAAAGTTCCCACAGGATTATTTCCCTGAGGTAAATATAGACAAAATAGTAATATTTGAAAGTGAAGCGTGTGGATGTGATTGCTTTATTCATTTAATTGGAATCATTTTTGAATACTGATCTAAAGTAAACTATAATCCTATCAATTATTTTCCTTTTCTTTTGTTTACTAAAAGCCTTTTGAGCCTCTTTGGGAAGAATTTCTTATTTTATATATTTTATCTATTATATATCTTATATCTTTCTATTAGAAATCACCCATCTTTCTCACAGAGCAACTCTGGGTGTTATCACTGAGTCAAAATGCAAAGGTACTGGAGTTGTTTTGAAAACTTGGCCAGGTCATATTGAGTATGAATTCCAAATAACCTATTTTCAAAATGTCTAGAATCTTTGAAGGTCAAACCATCATTTTAAACGGAATTTTAAACTTTAAAACTATTTCAAAATAAGCAATTATGTCATATGCTCAGACCTTTTGGCTAACACATTCTGAACCCAGGATCTGTCACTTCAAAATATATTACAATAACCTAATCTAGCTATAATAATATGTGTCACTGAATTACAATTCAGCCAAGCCAGCCAAATATGGTTAATCAATTGGGAAAGATATTTGGCATGATGGTGACTGATCTGGCTTTTCAATCCAGGTGCAATGTTTGTTTGTTTTTTCATTATCAAACACTTTATTTAGATTAATGCAAATACAAATATATACATAAGAAATCAATAAACATATTTGTGGCTAATCAATACAGCTTTCAATAGGACTAAATTTCATTGTGTATAAGACTGTTACACTAAAACATTTATGCCTGAAAGCAAAATGATTTTCAACTTTGCATTACTACACTGTTGGCACCGTCTTTTAATGTACCATTTATGTTCTTTTAGGGGGTGTATTGCCCTTAGTTTAAAACAGATTTCTTTTTATTAATGCTGCTTAAGAGTGATCTAAAATTAATTACAATGATTGAGCCATAATGCAATTCAAAATAATTACAGCCCACTGCATGTAAAAGTAACAAAACTTTCTCTGCTGATTTATTGCTTTTCTTGGCTGTGCATGAGTCTCAAATGATGCCTCTGGGAGTAACACTCCAGATAATGTTAGGTCATTTTTAAGAAAGCAGATTTGTGTAGTCTATCAGGATTGAGTAATTTTCCTCCCTTCCATAGTGAGAAATTGGTTGTTATCATAGATCACGGATACTGCTCAAAGCTCTTGTGAAAGATGAATTAATTTCACTAATGCTTTAATGCAAACCTTTCATGGTAAAGGCTGTATGGTGATAACCTTACTGCAGTCTCTTCTTTCTCAATGATGATTTATGTTGTCTTTTAGTAGATGAAACTGCCTATATTCACAATCTGTCTCCTGACTAAAGGAATCTTATTAACAGGAAAACTGGAGAGTGACTTAATATTGTATAAGGTGAAAGATGCTGAACTCATTTCTTATGGCAGAAAAGAAGCCATATTCTAAAATCTAGATAGCACATTATTGATGGTAACAGATAATCTTGCAGTATTTTGATATTTAATGCTTACTTGCATTAATGCTTACTTACTCTGATTTCCTGAGGAAAGTCACTATTTGGAAGTGTCTAGTGATAATAATGTGTGAGGACTGTTTTGATGTGTTTGCTAGAGGTATTTTTTGAGTAAGGAAGGAATTATCTAATTTCAAGTATTAATTTAAATTGGGACTCTCTTGTTAGCTTTCATTCTATGCCTGAATCAAAAGCTTCTTTTCCTATTAGACTCTGTTGCCTGCCTTTCTGTCTCCCAAAGAGTTTATTGTCCTTGAAAATAAAATAGTAAATGAGTACCATATTCAGAAAGGGAAAACATAGTACAGAGATCAACAGTGAGCACCTGGAGTGGTCATATAATTTCTCATATCAAAGACTCATATAAATGTTTATTTGACTTCCATCCCCACCCTTCAAAAGCTCCAAGCCCCCCACTTTCCTTCAGAAGCTCCCAAGCAGCATACATAACTATTTCTCCTCACAACAATCCTGTGAGAAAGGTTGGGCCTGTAATAATCCTGTAAACTTCCATGGCTGAGGGGGAATTAGAATCTGTTCTCAAAGAAATACTTCTAAAATGTCCAAAATCTCTCCAGATTACATGAGATTTTCATTGTAAGAAAGATTTAAGAAATGTTACAAGATTTTTGGTGTCAGAATGCTGAGTCTCCAGATTTAGCAATTTTGTGAAATTTCAGCCTTCTCTGAAAAATTATTGTATATATGCATCCATAACATGGTATAGTAGAATATATCTTGTTTTTAAAAAATGCCAAGGCCAGCAAAATGGTTTAAGACAGAATTAGCTGCAATGTTTTAGATCGTCTCCTATAATTTGTTAATATTTGTCCATGAACTGGCTGAATTTTATGAAAGTTATAAACCAAATATTTAGTTTAGCTTATATATTCTAAGTCTTCAGAGTGAGGTTTTTAGTTTTACATGTCAAAACTGTAATTTTTAAAATGAATTTGAACTCATTTTGCTTTGCTATTTTTGCAGATTATTCATTATCATTTTAATGGAACCACCTTAAAAACTATATCATTTTTTTTTTTCAGGGCAGCCAATAGAATTCAAAGCAATATGGCATAAATAGAGAAATGCCTCTCTAGAGCAAATTAAAATTTGGTCAGTTAATATTGTTTCTGTTTCTGACTAATCATGTGTTCTGTAACTAAGTTCTGTAGGAACTGCCAAATTAAGGCTACTTCTGTCTTCTACAGTGGTCATCATGTTCCTTCTGTGAACACAAATTTACCTGCTGTTGATTAGTTGCTTGCAACTTATTTTCAGTGCTGCTGAAAATACTCCATATTAATATCATTTTGAACTAATGGTTTGTTGGGACTTGACCTTCTAAAAAAAAAGTTAACCTGTCTTTGAGAAAGGGGCAAAGATAATTATTGCTTCTTGATATTTCTTCATATTTGGCTTTTTAAAAGACTAGCATTTCCACTCTAATTTAATCAGTTAGATCAGGGGTCCCCAACCGCCGGTCCGCGGACCGGTACCGGTCCGCGGAACAAGTCTTACCGGGCCGCTGGTTGCTGGGCGCCGCCATCTTTTTTTGATAAAAAAGTGCTTCCGGTGAGCTTTTCCGGGTAGAAAGCTCACCGGAAGCACTTTTTCATCAAAAAAAGATGGTGGCGCCCAGTTGATGCCGGTACCGGGCCGCGGCGCCCAGCTGATGCCGGTACCGGGCCGCGGCATAAAAAAGGTTGGGGATCACTGAGTTAGATGACATGCAGAATTAATGTTAGGTATAATCCACTTCAAAATTGAAACAGAGAATCAGTTACATGCTCATTTCCTGTTGTTGGCACTGGAGACAAGAACAGCAACATTGTATTTCAATTTTAATATTTGTAAAAATATCAAGTAAGGCAAAGGCTTCCTAGTGAAAAGAATTCAACATTAATGCTATATTAATTAAATGTTATGTAGGTATGACTCAGTTTATATCTAAATAATTTTGTGATCTATTTTGCTTTTTAAAAAAATAATAGAAGCTTCCATTTATTCACTCACATTAATAGCAACATTGTAAAAGATCATTAGTCAAAGATGTTTGAAAAGCATAAAGAGGCGTGTACAGGCATTAATAGGGTTTTTTTCGCCATCCAGTATTATGACACATGGGACAACTCTGGACTGAGAGTGATCAAAGTCCCTTCTGGGATGGAAAATTCTAAAACTGTCCCTGCTTTCAATGAATAGAACTGGAAAACACTATGTTGATACACGACATATAGCCAACCCAGGTTCTTGGACTGGATAATTCATTAGAGAGCAGACCCATTCTTGGAGATGCACGTTAAAATGCTGACTGACAATAAAGAAGAAAGAACTTTGTCTTGAAAACAAACATATCATATATTTAGCTGGTCCATTTTTAATGTACTTTTAGCATAGTGCAAGTCAGAGTAGCTAAAGATTATAAAATGACCATAACTAGTAACAGCAAAAGAAAGAAGATAATCCATCCTCAAAACTTTTATCACAAATGCAGGCTGTCTTATATTGCTGCAAATGTACATTTAGAACTATACAGGTTTTTAATCATCAACAAAATATTATTTTCAAACCTTTCTAAAGAAGCATTCCCTCTGGAGAACCCAGGGCTAACAACTGTGCTACCAGGCATCTTGATAGTCTAGCACTATGATGGCAAACCTATGACACACGTGCCACAGGTAGCACGCAGAGCCATTTGTGCTGGCACACAAGCTGCAGGCAAACTTACCTCACTGGGCATGCGCACGCCTCACAGCTGATTTTTGGCCTTCCGGGTTTTTTTCTGAAAAAAACCGGAAGTGACAAAACGGGGCTAGATTTCAGCCTACAAAGTTTGTAGAAGCCTGAAGAAGTCTTCCTCAAGCCTTTGGGAGGCCAAAAAAGGCCTCAAACAGGCTGAAAATCAGCTGTGAGGCACAGTGCAGGTAAGGGGGTGGCGAGAGTGGGATGGGAGTGCGTGTGCATGTGTAGAGGGTGGGGGCGCGCATTGCCTTCTGGGTGCTGGCACGCGAGCATGAGCGTACAAGCACACTCACAATTTTTAGCACAGGAGCCCAAAAAGGTGAGCCACCACTGGTCTAGCAAATGGTTTACAAGGATATGAGAATCTACCTGGAAGGAAGAAGCAGTCAGACTTCATTGTGAAAACAGAATTCAGATAGCATTGTTCTAGATATAGGCCTTAGTTATTAATTGTTTTATATATGTTTTAATATATTGTCATTTTAGTTAGGTTGAAGCCAATAAAAAATAAAACTTGCTACAATTGGCATTTTTGTTACGAGGTTATTCCAATAAATTCATAACTGCTTTTCATAGACTTGGAGATCTTTTCTCTATGCCACTCAAGCATAGCTTGTAATAAGTTGATTTGTTCATGGGATGGAAAATTGCTCATTTTGATATATGGAATCTTTGCTACTTCAGCCCTGTGGAAAGAGATTGGCTTGGCCAATTTCTATTTTCCAAATACCTATACTACTTTATAATTTAGGAAAAATTACAAGGAAAGACATGTTTATACTCCTACATTCTTATTCAGATAGGCTCTGAGGCAAGAAATATATCTGCCTGGGAAAAATGACTTTACTGGAAATATTTGCAATTCATCAGTACCTTTATCATTTAAAGGTTAATTCATTTAATTCATCAGTACCTTTATCATTTAACAATTCATTTAACCCTTTATCTCTGTAAATGAAAACTTTTGGCAAGTTAATATATTATTATGTTCCTAATAATGTTAAATATAACATTATATTTAACATAATGTTGAATATATTCCTTTCCATTTGGATAGAAGGCTAAGTTTTGTATACTTTTATTTTCCAGGCTGTGATTCTGATATATGGGGATATGGGAAAGTGGAGGGAGGTGAAACAGGGAAAAATTTGAAGACCACATCATTAGATTAACTATGTATTCTTATCAACTTTTTCATCAATTCTTATCAACTTTTAGTGACCAACTTTTAGTGATAGACTTTCTCTATGATGATCTATTTATTCTTCAGTTCTTCCAACAATGCAATCATCATTCCTGTAAGTGAATCCATTCATCTTCCTGCTGGTTGTCCTCTCCTCTTTCCTTCTTCCTGTCCCAGCATTAGAACCTTCTCCAGAGACTGCTTATAATCCTGGCATTATTGTATTATTAAGCCTCATGTTTTCTATAGCGTTCTCCATGAAAATATTTAACACAATTTTTGTGAAACTTATAAGTAGATTCATTTCTTACTGTTTTGCTATATTTTAATATGTTGCTGCTGTGCTTTATTACTTTTTAGTGCAAGTGGTCCAGAAAAGGATTCATACGAACAAGATGGTGTATTACTGACTGGTACGTAATATGAAGGAGAATTGAACATCAAGTTTTGCATGAATGCCTAGTTATTAAGGAAGACATAAGGTTTGGAACAGCTGGTGCATATTCCATCTAAATACTGAACCAATCTTTAGGCATTGTTAGGCATATATAAAACCTTCGTTGCCTATCAAAAGGAACTTAACTCTTAGAATAGAGAAAGTATTAGAACTAGGCCTAAAATTAGGCCTAAAACTACACTTTTGCTTACAGACTTAATGGCATATCTTGAAGAGAAAGTTTATTGAAAGCATTTCTGTCTCTGTGGTGCCAACCAAGAAGACATTATTCTCTGTGTTCTGCACTGTTCTGTTTGCAATGAGATTAGGGGCAAATTATTGCTGGTAGGTGAATTCCCAAAGCAATCAGTTGGCTGTGTGCTTAAGGTGGGATTGGAATTTACATTTTTCTGATTTCTAGCCTGATGCCTTAACCATTATAGTATGCCACCTCTCTTTCCATTATTCAAATTCTGAAATAATTTTTTAATTGACTTGATCTCATTTTGACTTTTTTGTATCTAACACTTTATTACTTTATGTTATTATATTTTATGTTAGACTATACTATTATGACTTATGGTTAATTTATTCAGGCTAGTAGTCACATGAAAAACATTAGGTCTTAAATATTGCCACATTATTTTCTAGATATTTTTTATTTATTTATTTATTTATTTATTTATTTATTTATTTATTTATTTATTTATTTATTTATTTATTTGATTTGCCAATTGTTTACAAGATAGTAAGTATAAGTGTATACATAGTTGTGAATACATGAAATGGGTACATATAAGAAAAATAAAAGAAGAATAAGAGAAACAATAGGACAGGGACGGTAGGCACGTTGGTGCACTTATGCACGCCCCCTACAGACCTCTTAGGAAAGGGGTGAGGTCAATAGTAAACAGTCTAAGGTTAAAGTTTTTGGGGTTTGGGGAAGAAACTACAGAGTCGGGTAGAGTATTCCAGACATTGACCACTCTATTGCTGAAGTCGTATTTCCTGCAATCAAGTTTGGTGCGGTTAACTTTGAGTTTGTATCTATTGTGTGCTCTTGTGTTGTTATGGTTGAAGCTGAAGTATTCATTGACAGGTAGGACATTGCAATGTATGATTTTATATACCATGCTTAAATCAGACCGAAGACGGCGTAATTCAAGGTTTTCTAGTTCTAGAATTTCAAGTCTGGTGGCATAAGGTATTCTACAACGAGTAGAGGAGTGGAGAACTCTTCTTGTGAAATATTTCTGGACTTTCTCAATTGTGCTAATATCAGATACGTAATGTGGGTTCCAGACTGATGAACTGTATTCGAGTATTGGTCTAGCAAATGTTTTGTATGCTCTGGTTAGTAGTGTGATATTACCAGAGAAAAAGCTACGTAGGATTAGGTTAACAACTCTTAATGCCTTTTTGGCTATGTAGTTGCAGTGGGCTCTAGCACTTAGATCATTAGAGGTGAGTATTCCAAGGTCCTTTACAGAGCTTGGGTCATCAACAAGATCTTGACTATTCAGCTTGTATTTTATTTTCTGATTTTTTTTGCCAATATGTAAGACAGAGCATTTATTTGTTGAGATTTGAAGTTGCCATTTGTTTGACCATTCTGATACATAGTCAAGATCTTTTTGTAGGGTAGCAGTATTGTCTGTGGTATTGAACAGCTTTACATCATCAGCGAAAAGAACGCAATTGCTCTTAATATGATCACAGAGGTCATTTATGTAGAGTATGAAGAGAGTTGGTCCTAGAACACTGCCTTGGGGGACACCACTATTGACAGGTACAGAATTTGATAGGACGCTCCCAATTTTGACCATTTGTTGTCTGTTTGACAGGAATGCTTCTATCCAGTTATTCAGTTGTCCAGAGATACCATAGGATTTTATTTTTAGGAGTAGTTTGTTGTGTACCACTGAATCAAAGGCTTTACAGAAGTCTATGTAGATTGCGTCTATTGCTTTGCCCTGGTCGAGTTGTGTCGTCCATATGTTTTTGCAGTGTAAGAGTTGCAGATTACAGGATAGTTTTTTTCTGAAACCAAATTGTTTATTGGAGAGTAGGTTTTTTGTCTCTAAGTGGAGGATGATGGATTGGTTAATAATTGATTCCATGACTTTACAGGTGACGCAGCATAAGGAGATTGGTCTGTAATTTTCAACTAGGCTTGGGTCTCCCTTTTTGAAGATGGGGATGACTGTGGCTTGTGACCATAGGTTAGGCAAGGAGCTGGTCCTGAAAGATTTTTCAAAGATTATGCTTAGAGGTTTGGCTATGGCAGTGGATAGCTTTTTTAAGAAGTAGGCACATATTCCATCCGGTCCAATAGATAGAGATGGTTTTAGATTGCGTAGTGCTTTTTCAACATTGTCTTCTGTAAAATCGATATGTATTAGATCATTGTTGTTATCTGTGGTACGGCTAGGAAATACTGGGCATGATCCATTGCTGTTTACAAATACTGAGCCGAAGAATGTGTTAAAGATGTTGGCTTTAATGGTGTCGTCGTTGCAGTCTTTACCATCAGGTCCTATCAAGGGTGGGATAGACCTTGAGTCTTTTAGTTTGTTCTTTACAAAATTGTAAAAAGCACGGGTGCTTAGAAGGTTTTCCTCTTGTTTAATGTGATAATTGATGCATTCGGTCTTTATCTGGTGGCATAAATTTTTGTATCGGCTTTTGAAATTGGCAACGTGACCAGATTTGTTTTTCCGCCAGAGTGATATATAATATATATAAACTAGTATTTTATTTTTTTAATTTTTAAGATATTGGAAACATTTACTTTCTGGGAAGAGTTGAAGCCAAAGGATATAGTTGGTATTTGAATTAGACCCCTAAGATACTATATTATCTTAAAGAGAAAATATGTAGACAATAATTAAATCCCCTGCCATGTTTCTAAGTTATCTTACATTGATACCAGTTCCCTGCAACTGATATTTAGCTACATTTAAAAAATAATAACCAAGGAAAATTATTTTTGGCTTTTACTTTTTATTGAAATTTTATTAAGGATTACAATTACTGTATGCCTCATAAAATATAAACTTTGAAAAAAATAGAACAAAATAGTGCAGTAATGGGGGAAAAGAAAGAGAAAAGAAAAAATAGAATATTTTTGGAAATAATAATGGAATATAGTAAAAAAAAAACTAAAGGAAATTTATAAAGAAATTCCTTCCTCCTTCATCACAAGCATAATTAATTTTAGTAACTTATCACCTTCTCTTAAAATACAACAAATGATGTCTTCTTCCCATATCTCATCTCTTGTCTATAAATAAATCTTTAAAGCTTCATCATTCAGTCCTGGCCAGCAAAATCTCTTAAGTGGTACCAGAGATAACAATACACCTATTTTAACCTTATCAAATAATCCAACTTTATATTCTTTTTAATATGATATTTATTCCCTTTAAATAATATTCTAGATCTTGATTTCTTTTCATTTTTTCTTTGTTCCTTCTCAAAATTCTTCAAAACTTTGATAAGATTCTTTTATAAATCCAATATAGGAAAGTTGTTCAGATCATTCTCTTCGGTTGTTATTTGTATATTCCTTTTCATTATTACGATATTAGTCAGTTCCTTTTAGGTCCATTGTAGCATCTTTTTCCATATTTTATTTGTTTGTATCCCACCTTTATTATTTTTACAAGTAACTCAAGGCAGCGGATATATCCAACATACCTTCCTCCTCTTGTTTTCCCCACAACAGCTCTGTGAGGTAGGTTGGGCTGAGAAAGAATGACTGGCCCAAAGTCACCCAACTGGCTTTCATGGCTAAGGCGGGACTTGAATTCATGGTTTCCACTTCCTAGCCTCCTGTCTTAACTACTAGACCAAATAGGCTCTCTTATATCATTCCTATACCCTGTCATTTTTAAATCACTAAGTCTTGTCCAATAAAGCTTGTTCTTCCACCATACAATCTTTTAAACAGTTTATCTACAATGGCAGGCATGTTTTTAAATTAATTTCTGGTCCATTATTCACAAATATCCTTCAAGACTTCCAGTGTTAAAAGTATTTTGCTCCATTCTGTATTAGTAAGTAAAAAATGTTCTTCTCTTATAATTGTAATATATAAATTAAGAAAATTTTAAAAAATTAAAATTGCAGAGAGAAAAGAAAGGGACAAGGGTGAAAAAATTTAATAAAAATATATTCTTTTCATTGTAAACTTTAGTTCTTTCTGCTTCCCTCTAGTGTCCAATTTTTAAAGTTCGTACAAGTTTTTTATCCATCTAATTCTGCTTCTACTCCTATATATCGCTATCTCTACCATCCTGGTCATTAATTGTGGTTTCAATCAGGGGTTGATGTGTATCAACCTATTGGTCATTGGTTTTGTTTGATCCTACTAAAATAAATTCTTCTTGTAATTTTTGCAAATTAAATATTTTACAACTTTATTCTCAATAAGTATTTCCTGAAGGTAAATTTTATGCTGTTTTAGTTATTTTAGGTAATAGAATACTTTTTTTCTTGGTGTGGGGGAAATTGCCTCCATTTATATTCCAAGTTAAAAAAATCTCTCCTTTTTCAAAAGAGATTTTGTCGGACAGATTTCACTGCCTGGGCTATTGATCTAAGTCGCAAAGCTGCCCCCTCCTTCAGGGACATCTAGTTTGCCATGTATTCTCACTAGAAATCCTCAAAAAAAAATTATTCTTTCTCAATAGATGAATAAATCCTTCTTTGATTTATGCCTAGGTGGAATTTAATATTTGATCACATTTAAAAAGTTATAATATGAAATATATATTAAATGAACAGCTATATGATAATCCTATCAAAAGGGTATTTGGGGGCAAGAAGACAAGTAGAAGCTTAATCTTTACAGTTTAGGGAGAGAGGGAACTTAAAGTTGATCTAGATTCAAGTCTATAATACTCTATAGAACAGCAGCCCCCAACCTTTTGGGCATCAGGGACTGATTCCATGGGGAAAGGTTTTTCCATGAGCTGGAGGAGGCATGATTTTGCATGCTGCCTAAATCCCACAGATGGGGCCTCACTTGTTTGTGCAGCCCAATTTCTGGCATGCCATGCCATGGATCAGTCCTTGCACAAACCTGATGAACTTTAAAACCAGTTTATAAACTTGGCTTTCAAATTCACAAGTAAGAACTGAATGATGAGTACAACAGGGTCTTTTCTGTGTACTTTTTCGGGAATTATCTTCTAAGGTCCTGGGTCCTGCTTTATGAATCCTTAAACACTGATTTGTTCTGGTTTGTATTTGGCTATTTTTACTGTGCCATGCTGTTTTATTTTATTTACTGCTTTTACAATATATGTAGTATATTGATATTTTAAAGATTGTCATTGTGCATTTCACATTTTTTACATTCTTATTTGTATTCTGAGATCATCTTTTTTTTCCTTTTGTCACAGTGCCTTTGACTTGGTAAACATCCATCTTTTCCATGATGCTTCCAATTTAGTTGCTTGGGAAACAAGCCCATCTGTTTACTCAGGAATAAGGCATAAGGCCCTTGGTTATGTACTTGACAGGTAAGTAATAGACTTTATTGGCTCCTTGTATTATATCTATGTTATATTTCCAATATGAAAAGTTATTGTGGTGGTGGTAGTTATTGATACTTTTTTTAAAAAAAATGTCCATATCCCTGAAGAGCTCAAAGCATAAATTAACAAAAAGCATTTTAAAAAGAAAAAAAAGTTTAATGTTGAAAATTATGGTCAATGTACTGATCCAGTCCTTTATAAAAATAAATTACTGGAATGTTCTGCTTTTTTTTTCTGACATTGTGAAAGCTGTGTTAGTCCATGTAATAAAAATCAGGAGTCTAATAACACTTTTTCTAATTAACATGTTTTATTTTAAAGTGCAAATTTTTAAAAGGTATAAAAAGCTTGTGCCTTTTGTAAAATATGTAATTTCCAAATATGGTATTAGACCAGGGGTGTCAAGCTCAATTTCATTGAGGGTCGCATAAGGGTTTTGGTGGACCTTGGGGAGGACGTGGCTGGGGGGCAGGATGAGCGTGGCTGGGGTAGGCGTGGCCAGTTCCCACTGCTGATGTGCTTGCTCTCCTTGGCCAGGTTGTTCATTGTGTGTGTGGGAGGGCAAAGTGTGTGGATCAGAGGGAGGCCCACTCCCTCTCCTTGTGAGGAGACCCGGGTTTGTAACCACGGCATCCTCAGGGATAGGATGGGAAACCACCAGGAGAGATCAGAAGGAGGGGACAAAGGGATGGCAAAAGGAAGCTGGGCTGCTAGTGGCCAAGTGCTAAGGCAGGATTTCCCTCAGACCCCCACTTTCTCTTATAATCTCCTTCCTTTCTTCCTTCTTTTCTCTATACTCAGGAAGGGATGAGGGGAAGGGGAGAGATTGGCAGCACCGGGCATGTGCACAGGATATGGTGAGCGTGCAGAGCCTGGCATTCCTGAGAATCGTCTTGCCCTGCAAGCTGACTGTATTCTGAGCACTTCACTTTCATCCAGGATGCCAGGCTTTGGGCGCTGCCAATCTCTGCCCTTCCTGAGTGTGGAGGAAGGAAGGAGACAGGAATTAAAATCAAGGAAGGAAGGAAGGAATTTAAAGCAGGGAAGGAAGAAAAGAATTAAATGAGGGAGGGGAAAAAAGAAAGAATCATGGTAAGTTTTATCCATTCCTTATTTAAGTGAATGGTGAAAGGGAGAGTAAGCTTTTAAATTTGGATTTTACTGCAGAAACATATAAACTTTTATTCTTTCCCGTGGATCAAATCAGCTGTGCAAAGCTACTGCTTCACTTGTAAATAGCTGGAGAATTAGAAAACTATGCAGAGCAAGTGAGAAAGCAAAGACTGAGGCTCAGTCTGGGTGGGAGGACTGATCAAAAAGCTGCTGCGTGCAATTATCTTGAACAAGAACCGGAGAAACGTTGCACGGGAAGTGTTAACAAGAATCACCCCAACAAAAGGAGACTGGCAATGAGAAAACTTGCCTCTTTCCTATCTTAAGGGGAGGGGTGTGTGGGGAGGTGCAATTACCAAAACCTCGGCAGAATGATCAACTCCACCTCCAGCCAGCCAAGAAAAATTAAGCATTTTGCAAAGAACTGCTCTGTTCTTGGAAAAGGCAGCTGAAAGGAGGAGTGCAGACGAAGGGAGAGCGTGTTAAACAGAAGTTGGGAGTGGGCGGGGGAGGGGGGGAGCAGGAACAAAACCTCTTAATTTTCCTATCACAAAACTGCTCTGCATGGGAAGGAATCCCAGTAAAATCAACCGGAGCGCCCACTGCATTTTAAGGGTCGAAGTGCCACTGCTTTGGACTTGGGCGCCTCTCCCAGCCATTCGATTTCTGAGCAACTTAAAACCACATTCTTCTACTCCAAAATCTTGAGCCTATATTTCCTACCAGCTTTAGCAAGAAACAGACAGCCAAACACAGTGTCCATAAAACCCAAAAAAGGCAAGCCGAACAGCTGGAACATTTTTTAAAAAAATAAATAAAATAAAATTCAGCACCCAATTCATACCCACCCATAGCAACAGTCTGGAGCTGACCTGAACTTGGAGCTAGAAACTTTTCAACAACAAGCGAGCTTCAGCTTCTCCGAGAGCCGAGCAAACTCCTCGCTTCTTTGGAAAGAAAAGTCTTTTTGCGTGGGAAGGGATGAGGAAGAAGTAAGGGGGAGAAATCATCACTTTACAGTTGAAGAATCTGAAATCTTAGAACCTGCTCTCCTGGGCACTTTCTTTTTTTAAAAAAAAAATACCGCTTTGCATTTCATTAGCCGCTGATTCCTCTCCCCCAGTTGCGTATTCCAATTTTCTCCCCAAATGTACTGGTATACAGATACCCCCTTCCACTGAGATTTTCTTTCTCATCCCTGATGTCAATTTTCTCCCCCAGCCCCCCCTCCCCAAATGAATGAACTTGGGACAAAGGACATTAAAAGTTGTCAGAGGCCCAGAAGAAGCTGTAAAAAGAAGAACCAGAAAAAAAAATTCCCTGTTCATTTGCTTCCCCCCCCATGAACCGCAAATGAATGGGAGCTCCCCCATTCTCTTTGCATATTTCCAATCTGCGCCCCCCCCGCCCGCCCTCCTTGAGAGGCCTGCATGGCTTTCTTCCCCGACCCCCCCGAAAAATAAAATCATATTCAGGCATTCCTCCCTCCCTTTTCTTTGCCAAATTCCAACAGCAACCAGCCTGTGCTCATTGCTAGCCATGAATCTCTAGCACCCACTGTTCAAAGATCTAGTAATTAGAAACTTACACACATGCACGCACGTGCCAGAACTTGGAAAGAACTTGGAGAAAGAGAGGAGGAGGAAGAGCAGCCATTCGGGCCAGCACATGGTTAGCCTTAGATCCAACCTACGTGGCCCCCTGAAACCTTGTCACCTTGGCCTCACCCCTGCATGTCCTGTCAGAAAGGGAAGTACTCTGAACGCAGTCAGCCTGCGGGGTAAGATGGTCCCCGGGGATGCCAAGCCTCGCATGCACTCACCACCTCCTCTGCGCGTGCCCATGGGGAAAGGAGGGGGCAGCCCTTCGCTGGGTCTAGGGCAGCTCCGTGGATCTAAGGCTGACCGTGTTCTGGCCTGGATGGCTGCCACGATCAGAATCCGGTTGGCCTGGCCAGGCTGAGGCACCAGAGGCCAGTCCTTAGCTTTTTCCAGGGGCAGCTCTGTGGGTCAGATCTAATCAGCCCACGGGTGGGATCCAGCCCATGGGCCTTGAGTTTCACATCCCTGTACTAGACTTATGAAATCTTGCCAGTATGTTTTGAAAGTAAATGAGGGATGTGCCAGGTATAAAAGGCATGTTCTAATTACTTACAAGTTCAGCAGCTTTCTCCAGATCATGCCCTCCAAATGAGTTGGAATTGTAATATTCATAAACCCCAGTTTATATGGATATCCTTTTATTTTTATAGAACTCATCAGGGTTTGATGATTGTAGAATTCAGATATGTTTACAATCAGAAAGCTCCTCAACGAACCCTTTGTTGTTATTGTTGTTGTTGTTGTTGTTAGTCGTGAAGTCGTGTCCAATCCATCGCAACTCAATGGACAACGTTCCTCCAGGCCTTCCTGTCCTCTACTATCCCCCGGAAACCATTTAAGTTCACAACGACTGCTTCAGTGACTCCATCCAGCCTCCTCATTCTCTGTCATCCCCTTCTTCTTTTGCCCTCAATCTTTCACAGCATTATGCTCTTCTCCAGTGAGTCCTTCCTTCTCATTAGATGGCCAAAGTATTTGAGTTTCATCAACAAACTCAAATAAGCTAAATAGAAGTAAACATTGTTACTGTAATACTTGGATAGGGTATCACCAGGAAATACCAAAGTTGGAAGATAAATTGAAAAATCAAAGAAATATCTTGGAAGAAAGAATGGTGAATCAATTCCATGTTGATACAATGAATTATATGAAATTGTCCATGCGGTTACCAGAAAAGGAATTCATCTTGTGCAAGGTTTTTTTTTTTAAATGATATAACATAATAATATTAAAACATAGTAGGCTTCAATTCTAATAGACTCAACATTTTTGTTCCATAGTTTAATAACACTACCATTCTGTCCTTGAATATTCCCATTTTATACAGTAAAAATGAATTTGGATTTTTTTATTTTCTAAAGGTATCAATGATAGGCTAAATTTGTTCATTGTACATAGTTTGGCAATATTTAAGAGCTTACAAAATAATATAGGATAAAAATGTCCAATACTGTATTCTAATCCTCACTTTTTGGGTAACATAATGCTAAATACAAATTTAATATTTTATTTCTAACCAACTTTTCATGCTTTCTCATGCCTACTGTTCTATATTCAGAATGAAGAACATTTGGGAAAAAGAAATGTGGATGTTAGAATATTGGACTGTCAGTTGATTTGGTTACTCCTCACCTGGCAAAGGATTCTTGTATAATGTATTAATTGGTATGCTTCAACTACCCAGTTGTTTGAAATTCATGAATTTTCTTTTCCCCAAACTCCCCATCTTAAAAATGGAGTATTGTAAAGTTTTTGTTTTGATTCTTGCTTTATTTTAATTATTCTAAGATAAAACTATTTTGACTTCATTATTATCTGTGTGGGCCCCTAGTCTGTGTGGGCCTCTAGTGGGCCCCCAATGTGAGCCAATGTACCGAGAAAAATATTTGGTGTCCCTTTTAGAATTCGGGCATAACTAATCTGGGTAACATGATTGAGTCTACTTTTCTTGTGGATATCCTTTGGTGGATAAGATTAAGCTCTACCTGGGCCAGCATTCTTTGTAGCTGATCCTAGCAACTAGCAGATAGTAGGTGGTCTAATGAAAATAATTGACCCATTATCCCACTCTATAAAATAGCATGCAGTTATGTGCATAAACTTCAAGGGGAATGAATTAATTTTTGATGTGGAATTTATTTCCATCTCTTTTGATTATGATAGTGTTCCAAGGGAACATTTGTATATTACTGTGATTTGCTGTTTGTTTTCTTTTAATGTTGTCAGGCTTTGGAATGCTTCCACAAACATCTTGGCAAAAGTAAGGAAACT